AGGTTTCGAACCTCAACCTTTAAACCTATAGCGTTTCAAGGTAAGCTATTCGGTTTAAATACCTAGCCCTACAGGGATTAAGGCTTAAACCAGTTTGAATGCCCAAACCTAGGTTTCAATCCCCAGACCTTAAACCTTTAAAAGCCCTTATAGGGCTTCAAGGTTTCAATGCCTAAACCTGATGTACCCAAGGTCTGGGCATTTATACCTTCAGCGCCCGTGGGCTGAACACCCTTGAACCTTTTAGACCCCTAGTGATTTTTCCGCATCACCTTTTGCGCTCGAATACTTCCTAGTCTTATGGTTCGAGGATCTCCATTATCTGTATTTGATATGCAATACATATACCCTATATACATACATGCAGTGGGTACTTATTCTACTTTTCCTTTGCATTTCCACAGGAGGCGAGGCCTACAAACACAGGCAGAACTCTATGGGATTTACGGTTAGGATTTAGGCCTCAAGGCCTACAATATATAGGGGTATAAGGTGCTAATCCTATAGATTTTAGCGTTATAACCCTAAACTCTATATGCCTGAAGGCTTGAGGAAAACAGTAAAGTGGTTAAATCCCTGAGGGTTTAGGGTTATGGTTTTGCAATGCCCTGAACCTTCAACCCTAAACCTTTAACCGCTCATAGCGTTTAGGGTTGATAAACCCTGAAAAAACCGTAACCCTATAGGGCCCTATAGGGTTTAAGGCTTGACCTTAAACCTTTAACAACCTTATAGGGCTTAAAGGTTTTAATGCCTAAGCCTGATGTACCGAAGGTCTGGGCATTTATACCTTCAGCGTGATAACCCTACACCCTATATGCCTTAAGGCTTAAGGAAAACAGTAAAGGGGTTAAACCCCTGAGGGTTCTTCAGCGTTATAACCCTAAACCGTTTAGGCTTTCAGCCTTAAGGAAAGCAGTAAAGGGGTTAAATCCCTGAGGGTTCTTCAGCGTTATAACCCTAAACCCTGTATGCTTTTTAAGGCTTAAGGATAACAGTAAGGGGTTCAATCCCTGAGGGTTTAGGGTTGGGTTGTTGCAATGCCCTCTTAAACCCTGAACCTTGAACCCCTATAGGGTTAAAACCCTATAGGGCTACCCCGAATAGGGTAGACAAACTCTGCAAAAACCTAAACCTTTAAACCCCAGAGGCTTAAAGGTTTCGAACCTCAACCTTTAAACCTATAGCGTTTCAAGGTAAGCTATTCGGTTTAAATACCTAGCCCTACAGGGATTAAGGCTTAAACCAGTTTGAATGCCCAAACCTAGGTTTCAATCCCCAGACCTTAAACCTTTAAAAGCCCTTATAGGGCTTCAAGGTTTCAATGCCTAAACCTGATGTACCCAAGGTCTGGGCATTTATACCTTCAGCGCCCGTGGGCTGAACACCCTTGAACCTTTTAGACCCCTAGTGATTTTTCCGCATCACCTTTTGCGCTCGAATACTTCCTAGTCTTATGGTTCGAGGATCTCCATTATCTGTATTTGATATGCAATACTTATACCCTATATACATACATGCAGTGGGTACTTATTCTACTTTTCCTTTGCATTTCCACAGGAGGCGAGGCCTACAAACACAGGCAGAACTCTATGGGATTTACGGTTAGGATTTAGGCCTCAAGGCCTACAATATATAGGGGTATAAGGTGCTAATCCTATAGATTTTAGCGTTATAACCCTAAACTCTATATGCCTGAAGGCTTGAGGAAAACAGTAAAGTGGTTAAATCCCTGAGGGTTTAGGGTTATGGTTTTGCAATGCCCTGAACCTTCAACCCTAAACCTTTAACCGCTCATAGCGTTTAGGGTTGATAAACCCTGAAAAAACCGTAACCCTATAGGGCCCTATAGGGTTTAAGGCTTGACCTTAAACCTTTAACAACCTTATAGGGCTTAAAGGTTTTAATGCCTAAGCCTGATGTACCTAAGGTCTGGGCATTTATACCTTCAGCGTGATAACCCTACACCCTATATGCCTTAAGGCTTAAGGAAAACAGTAAAGGGGTTAAACCCCTGAGGGTTCTTCAGCGTTATAACCCTAAACCGTATATGCTTTCAGCCTTAAGGAAAGCACTAAAGGGGTTAAACCCCTGAGGGTTCTTCAGCGTTATAACCCTAAACCCTATATGCTTTAAGGCTTAAGGATAACAGTAAAGGGGTTCAATCCCTGAGGGTTTAGGGTTGGGTTGTTGCAATGCCCTCTTAAACCCTGAACCTTGAACCCCTATAGGGTTAAAACCCTATAGGGCTACCCCGAATAGGGTAGACAAACTCTGCAAAAACCTAAACCTTTAAACCCCAGAGGCTTAAAGGTTTTGAACCTCAACCTTTAAACCTATAGCGTTTCAAGGTAAGCTATTCGGTTTAAATACCTAGCCCTACAGGGATTAAGGCTTAAACCAGTTTGAATGCCCAAACCTAGGTTTCAATCCCCAGACCTTAAACCTTTAAAAACCCTTATAGGGCTTCAAGGTTTCAATGCCTAAACCTGATGTACCCATGGGCATTTATACCTTCAGCGCCTGTGGGCTGAACACCCTTGAACCTTTTAGACCCCTAGAGGGTTTAGGGTTCATGTTTTCATACCTATAAACCTTAAACCCTTGAGGTTTAAACTCTATGGGCTTAGCTTTAAATGACTAAATCTTGAGCCCTAAGCCTTGAAACCTTAACCCTATAGGGTTTGAAGGTCGAGAGTTTAGGCTGAACTACCGGCTCAAGTTTGAATGCCTAAATCGTAAACCCTAAACCTTAACACCTTAACCCTATAGGGTTTAAAGGTTAAGGGTTTAGTTTTAATTGCCGGCTCAGGTTCTAATGCCTCAACCTGAAGCCCTAAACCTTCAAACCTTAGCCCTATGGGGTTCCGTGAGTTTTGAACTTCAATCTAGAGTTTTGAGCTTCAAAACTCCGGGATCCAAGATTCAAGATTCAAGATTGCAGGAAAAGTTTCCACGGGATCTTGAATCCTGCAGCCCGGAGTTTTGAAGTTCAACAATTGAAACGTTTCCGTTTCAATTGAAACGGCCGGGATCCAAGATCCAAGATCTAAGATTTCCCAGGACTCTTGCCGAGGCATCTTGGAATCCTAGGTCTCGCTAACCGGCCGTTTCAATTGAAACGTTTCCGTTTCAATTGAAACGGCCGGGGTCCAAGATCCAAGATCCAAGATTTCCCAGGACTCTTGCCGAGGCATCTTGGAATCCTAAATCCAAAACCGGCCGTTTCAATTGAAACGGAAACGTTTCAATTGAAACGGGCAGAATCCAAGATATGGGATTCCAAGATGCCTCGGCAAGAGTCCTGGGAAATCTTGGATCTTGGATCTTGTATCCCGGCCGTTTCAATTGAAACGGAAACGTTTCAATTGAAACGGCCGGTTTTCGAGATCCAGGATTCCAAGATGCCTCGGCAAGAGTCCTGGGAAATCTTAGATCTTGGATCTTGGATCCCGGCCGTTTCAATTGAAACGGAAACGTTTCAATTGAAACGGCCGGCTTTCGAAATCTTTGAAGAGAGTTCTGAATGGCGTCGTGGGCATTATCATTGTGAGGCAGACGGATTTTATTGCATTGCGAAAATTCACTATGAAGCAGACGGATTTTGTTTCATTGTTGAAAAAAAGGTGGGAAACGGTAGATCTTTGGGGGGGGGGGGGGGGTACCATATATATATATATATATATCCGTGTTGAGATGTCTTGAAGCGCCTTGAGCTCAAGATGCCAACTCGAAGATTGAATATTCCGGCGGGACTTTCGGAAGGAAGCGTCGATTCCCCGTCGTTGTCTGTTGTCTTGAAAAGTCTCTGAAGCTCAATGAAGCTCAAGACGCCAAGCCAGAGATCGACAAGCGAAGATTCCTGGGAAGAGAGTCTCCGCAGAAGCTTCGATCTCCAATTTTCGATCGGATGTCTCAAAAACATGAAGATAGGAGTCCACGAAACGGGGTGGCGGCGTACCAGATCCATTGTATGTATGTGTGCATGTATGTATGTATGCATGTATGTGTATGTATACGTATATATATATACATATATATATATATATCACTTGCAGTACTGTGCTGTTGCGTGCAAAAGCGAGGCTCCGATGCTGCCAGAAGCTTCACCTCTTGGCGGCTTAATCTGCCCCCTCGGACCAAACTCGCCACCTCACTGAAAGCATCCATGAGCACATGCACTGTGGTCGTTTCATCAACCAGTCCGTTGTTCCGTTCATGCTGAGATTTGTTGAGGTCGCCAACGCTCACAACACCACAGTGTGGTGACTCCTACCTTTCACCCAAAGGCGCACCACTACGTTTCATTGTCAAACAGGGTGTTCATTGACGATGAGGCCCAGGGGCCTTGCGCAGAAGACCGCATAGGAATGCTCAAGCAGTAGAGTTAAATCAAAGAATTTCGGGTGCGACCAGCACGATGGGGGCTGAAGCCGAACGTATTGCGTGATTCTGCAGATCGAATCTGTCGGAATTCCTGTTTGCCGCAAGGGACAGCATGGGACGATATGGGACGTCTGCAAGTCTGCAGAAAACGAAACAAGCTTGTATGGCTTGTTGGGCCGATCCAACAAGGCAGCTACAGAGACAAGCGCTGACAATGTGAAGAACCTAAGACCACAGACGACAACAGGACTTTTCCATGACTTCTCTGGTTATGGCAAAGAACCCCCTGGGTCCGGGTCAAGGACCCGAGAGGCCCGAGCGTCAGTGAAGCGAGCATCTCCTTACTATGTGTCAAAGATTGTCACAGCTACGAGCGGTGAGCTTCTACAGTCTACGGCGTTCGCCAGTCGCAGAAAAGTTCGCACAAAGTGTCGAGTCTGCAAGCCTACGTTCCTCGCTATGTGAGCAGGTTTTGGAGAGGTGACGCCGTTCAACACGCAGAATAAGCTTGGGGGCCTCAGCTCCTTGGTCTCTCAGACAAGTTGCGGCAGTTCATCTCTGCAGTTCATTCTGTGGTGTTGCTCATCGATTTTTGGATGCCTCTTCAAGGTGATATGAATGAATGGGCATGGGAGATGGGAAGTCAATGTAGCCTGCAGCTGAGAATGAAGCCAGGGTCAGGAACACTCTGCAAGCTGTTTGCAAGCAGGTGTGCCATCTGCTTGGTCAAAGCCCAGCACTGTCCACAGCAGCATAAGCAAGCTCAGCAATGCACGTAGCTCAGCGCAATGCTCCGCATTCAGTATATCGCATCCTTGTTTGTGCAAATTTTGCGTTTTCCGACTTTGCTACCCGACTTCCTGCATTGGAAGAGCTTTGTTGTTTGAATATTATTTTTCCATCGGCGACATTTTGTCTGCTCCAGGCCACGGGTGACGGTCTTATTCCGGGCCTGGTCGACGGCCAACGGCTCTCTTCCGTCAAGCCCTGTGCTGCCTGAGGTCCCAGATTGCTTAGATTTCCCCATTTCCCAGAACGGTATCGGAGTACCGATCAGTGAATTCATTCTCTTAGCAAGTCTTAGCTTACTAAGTTTTTACTAATGCCTTTCTGATCGGCTGCCTCAGGTGCCCACCTCCGGCGGCAAAGTGGTTGTAAGCCTCCGCAAGGAGGCAAGACCAGTGTAGTGGAGGTACTCTGGGTAATGGAAGTGACATGATGCATCACTGTGTGGCCTGCAATGTGCGCGAGGGCTCGTGCAATGCTCAGGTGCCTCAAGGCTTCTGGGACAGTGATAGGCTCAGGCGGCGTCAGGTTCGTTCTCGAGTGCATTTCGTGAGTGTGCCCAGGATTGGGCATTGTCCTGGTCAATGGCCCTGTGCAGAAGAAACTTGTGCTTGCAACCCAAATTCTCAAAGCGCATGAGCCGCACAGCACCTTGCGAACAGCTGCACTCAGGCCGACAGGTGTCAAGAAGGGCAAGAAGCTCTGCGTGGAGGTGCCATCTGGAATGGAAGCAGGTGACTACGATGTTCGCCTATCGTTTGGTGAGAAGATTATCCACGGAGTGGTTCTCAGTCGTGCACAGTTGAGCGCTTTGACAGTGCCATGCTCCATGCTCAGGGCTGGGCCTTGGGACCTCCTAGGACCTTAGAGCGCCTGAGGTGCAATACCTCTGGCGGTTAGAGACGGCGATGCGGAGGCGCTGAGCGACACATCGCGACACATCGCGACACATCGCGAGACACTGCATCCTTTCCCTCTGGTAAGAAGAAACGTTTCGACCATCGATCTGCTTTGTTTTGCTGTTCCAGGCAGATGAGGACTTTGACGATTGAGTCCCGAAGTCGTGCTCTGCAGAGGAGTCCTTTCTTCATGCGACGTGTGGTGTAACCACCAATTGTTGTTTCATTTGTATCATTGTGTCCTTGCGCACATTTGCACACTAGAGACATGCCTTGCGGAGCTCCGGTATAGTCATGGCACTACGTTGCTTTCCAAGAGTTCGCTCCAGCTTGCTCGGACCTGGGACTGTACCCGGTACGCAAACTACTATACGAAGTGCAAGGAAGGCAGAAGCCAGTATTTGTGGTACCATGTGAGATCTTGACGTCTTTTGGCATGCAGCTGTGGCGGCAATTTTCGGATCAAGCAGGTTTCACTGAGACTGAAATTAGTCAGTGGCGAGAATCTCACCACTTGTTCCTACCAGTCCATGCCTTGTGGCATCGCAACTGACCCATCAAAGCGCCAGGGTTCCACATTTGCGAGTTTGTGCTGTGCTCCCTGCAAGCTCCTGCAGATTTGCTCTCTACGTGGACACGGACATGCTGCAAGCTGCATCAAGCTGAAAACTCTCTGGCCTTGGCCTGCAAGGCTACACTTCGGCTCCAGAAGGTGGAGTCGTTAGCCGATCTTTTCTCTCCTTGGAACTTGGGGCGACTTTCGCTCTCCGGTCTGAGCCCCGAGATTGCAACGCCCGTGATGCGCTGTTATAGATACAATAGATACAGTCACTACATTGAGTTGAGACGTGTCTGCGCCCCTCGGGGCTTGCAACTCATGCTTGTTCTTTCTGTTGTGTGGTTTTACAATGTTTTACACATCATCTGGAGGTGTTGATGGATCGCACTGCATCGGCCGAGATCGGCTCTCAGCTTGTACTACAGGCATGACGAAGCTGCCACGCCTTGAAGGAAGCTGCGAAAGGATATGAAGAAGTGAAACCAACTTCTTCCTTAGCATGTTTGTCAATGCATTCAACTCTGAAAGTTAGGCGCTGGGGCGAGATGGAAGAGTGAAGAGATTGTCAAGAAGCAGTGCAGTGCGTAAAAATCAAGGATCATGAAGCTGCACCGGCAACACAGAGAAACAGCACGGAACTCTTTCTTAACGACGCAAATGCTTCTGAAATCATGCGGAGCCACAGCTTCTGAAAACCAATTCCATGTCTGCGTTAAGTGACTCATTCGGAGTGTCTTTCGGAGTCCCTTTCGGAGTCCCTTTCCCCGGAGTCCCTTTCGGAGTCCCTTTCGGAGTGCTGTCATGCATTACCATGTTCCGCAGGACGAACCGTAGTGGAATGATAGGCTCGCCTATTGGAAATGACCCAGGATTCAGGTCTGCAGAATATGCAAACTCTCCAAGCTTTTTTGAAGTTCGAGTCATTCAGGTCCACAGGGAGCACTTCCAGCCCCATTTCCGGGGCAGGAAGCATGGGCGTGAAGGCAGGACAGCGAACAGACAGCGTAAAACGAGAAGTATCGGAATCATCTGAGAATGTCAGTCAGTCGATTTGTTAGGTTGTGGCCAGTACTTGGGCTCGCGATTCTCATGACCTCTTCGACTTTGAAGCAAATCAGCTGCAAACGCCGTCCCGCCACAGTTTGTTGAATGGCTCTCTGAGCTTGGCTGGTGTGATTCCTTGGACGATATTGGACTATTATCATTGCCAACAGATCAGGGAAGACACGGCACTGGATGTTACAACATTGTTACAACTGTTGCGCAGGCAGACTTTCACTGTCCCCAATTCGGCGAAGTTCGTTCGGTCTGGAACGGATGCCGCAATGCCAAGGAGCTTTCGCTCGGAAGTTGTGCCGATTTGTGCTTCATCTAGATAAGGTCCAGATGTTCACGGACAACGAGAACCCACCTGCAGGCTGGGTGTGTTCTCTCTCATCCCCACTGTAGTTGACACCAGAGGAATTTTGAGAGAATACGTTGGAGAGTATACTCCGTATAAACTTCACAGCCGAGTTTTGGCACCTGCTCCCTTCCCGGGTGTTGAGAGACTAACCTAAGGGACTGTCGCCCACAGCCAGCTAAGGCACCCCCCCAAAAAAATAGTAGAAAAAAGGCTCCTAGGGTCAGGAGCATTAGGTGTTGCTGTGTCTGCTTCATTCTTTGTTTTCCATCATTGTCACCTATCTTTTCTCATTGTTTGTTGCTGTTCTGTTTTCATTTCTCTGTCTCTGGGGTCTGTCTTCTTGTCATGGTCGTCTTATTCGTTTTTTCTTAGGGGTGTCTTATTCGTTTTGTCTGGGTTTGCTTCCTTCTTCGTTTTTTGCTTAACCCTAGTTCCGGTATCCCTCCTTTAAGTATTTGTTTAGTCTGTTATGTTTTCATTTTTAGGCCTAGTAGTTATTCTTAACTTTTGGTTTTGGTTGGTTGTTATGTTATTTTCGGTCTCTGGGTTAGGCTATAATTGGCTTTTGTTAGGCGGTTCATAGAAACGCCTATCTTAAAGCCTAGTCTGGGCTTAGTTCGGTCTAGACATTCCCTAACTTTTGGTTATTCCTAGGGTTTTAGGGTGGTTCAACGATAATATTATATTTGATAATAATATTATTGTTGTCACTTATTATTTAGTAAATCTTTGTATTCTTCTTCAATGTCCTGAATACTTTTATTAATCCACTTGACAGCATTCTTAGGTTTTTTATCTAAATATTTAGTGTCTGTGGTTTTATCTTCTGAGATTTTACCTTCCAAAATAGATATATCACGCTTAACATTCAAGACATCATCTTGGTCAAAAACACTTTCATAAACTTTAAGCAACTTACATAACTCTTTAATTTTATTTAAGTAATCTATTTCATTTATTTTCATTTCATATATCTTCTTGATATACTTCGCTTGTATTTTATATGTATTTAAATTTGTATAATCCATATTATTATAGTATACTAGGGCGTTTTGTCTTTAAGTAGTTTCAGGATCGTTCAACCATTTCATTATATTAATAATATTGTTATGGTTGATTTATTCAAAGGGATTAAATACTTTATCAATATATTTATTTATTTTATTTCTATCAATATAGCAAGCATAATCTTCTAATATGTAATCAATATACATTACAACCACTTTATAAAACAGGTCTAAGTTTTCATATTCTGTTTTAGCATAAACATAAGTGCCAGATAAAAATGAGTTCATATGATAACCTACAAGACGTTTTGTGCTTCCTTCGCTCCACATATTGGTAAGAAAATCTCCAACAATACCAAATACATCAGCATTATGAACAAATGAGTTTAATACTTTTTTATCTTTAGCCCCTCTTGCTTTAATTAATTCTTTCATTTGTTGTTTCATGATACTTCTCTTTCTTATCCTGTCGTCTATGAATGATTTCGGATTAATCTTTATCAATAAGAAGAACTGCTTTTCTACTTTACTCAATTCTATACCAAATCTTGGATATTCATCACTAAAGTTATTGTCATGATGTTTTAGTTTCTCACACTTTTTACATTGTAGATAATCAACTACTTCATTACCTATATTTTCAGGTAATATCATATTTAGAATGGCTTTTCTATTCCCCTTAATAGATTTACACACATGGCAATTTTCATACTTAAATATACTCATTTTCCTCTTACTATTCTAAGGCGTTTTGTCTTTAAGTATTTTTAACTATAATATTATTTGTTAGTTAATAATATTATGGTTGGTCAATAACGATGAATTTTAACCATTGTATTAAATCATAAAAGACTTGCCGTTTATTTAAATATGTAATTATCATTGAAAATATTCTTAAATAATGATACAGATACTGTTTTAAATCAACTATATTACTATAATATTCACATTCATTATATTTAGTTACCAATAGTTCTTTCAGTTCTTTTACTTTCTTCTCATTAAAATAATGATTATAAGCGTCTTCAAATTTGTCATGTATTTGTTTATTATACAACTCGCTATATTTTTCACAAAAGTCAGTTTCATATATGTAAACATTATCCACATAAATGTTAGCATAAATACTAGCACAGCAGAAGTTAGGGTTAAAACCGCTCAACACTTGTAATATTATATCTTCATGTTCAGGATACTCATTGTTTCTTACTAAACTATAAATAAGGGTGGAAACATCATAATCTAAATAACAGTTTCTTGATACACAGTCGCTACATCCGATGTAGGAGAAGAAATTTTCATTTACACCATCAGTAAATACATTAAAGTTATTCTTCAACTGATAATATATTAATTTACAGTTCTTACAGTTTTTAATATCATCCTTTATTAATTTACGACCATACTCAATTTCTTTCTCAATGTTATAATCTACTGTTACAACGCTTTCACTATCACTCATTACTATAATATACTAGGGCGCTATGTCTTTAAGTATATATTAATCAATTAATAACATTTCGTGTCTATTATATTTTTTAGTTTTACCTTCTAGGATATAGTGTTTGTTGAGCTGTAGGTCTCTGCCTATTTCCTTAACCGTGTATGTTTGTTCGCTCCATTGATTGCGCGATTCTTTTCTTGATGTGTAGTTGCCCTTTCCTTTTACAAATACTTTCACCTTATCCCCGACTTCTACCTTTGGATATTTTCTTAAATACTTTTCTTTCAATACCGAGTTTGCCTTCACTTTCACCGCGTTTTCGTCCTTATGCGCTTCGTCTGGAGTCATATCTGTGGTTGAGTGTTTCATTTTTTTATTGTATTTGTTTAATACTGGTTGTAATAAAATCGTCCATGCTCCTTTCGTTACTAACGCTCTGTCTGTAATCATCTTCTTAATAGTTCTGATTGCTCTCTCTGCTACATTCGCATGCGTTAAAGTTACTATATGGTCAATGCCTTCCCCTTTCAAAAAATCCTGTAGTTTCTTGTAGTTAAACGCCCCATCATCATCCGAATAAATACTATTAGGATAACCCATAACCTTAAAGCACTCCATAAAAGCATCATAAACCGTTTCACCGTCTCGGTTCTCCATAGGCACGATATGAATTTTCTTACTAAAATTATCAATACATAACAACGCATAGCGCTTATACTCTTTCTTAAAAGTATCTGTATCTTTCATTAAACTAACCATATCCATAATATCAACACTATAAACTGCTCTAGCATAAGGCGCTGAATAACTGTTGTAGTTCTTATAATTTCTCCTTTGAGTTGATTGTTTCTTAACCCAGTCCTTAACATATTGTAAGGTTACACCCGCTCCGTCTTTATTTGCTTCTTCATATAAGCTTCTTACTGACCCATAACCTCTTTCTAAATCATAATATATCTTCTCCAAAATCTCATTAGCACTCATAATTAATATTAACTAGAAATTTAATTAATATTAATTATAAACCTACAATTTTTCTCACTAATGTTTTCTCAATTTCTTTTTGTTGCTTCTCTTCATAAATTCTCTTACACCTTTCGGTGCTCTGATGCTTTGCTTTATTACTGTTACTTGTTATGGTTTTACCACATCTTTCATAACTCTTACTGTTTTTCTTGTAATAATCATTAAAATAATCATCTTCTTTATACTTCTGGTTCAACCTATCATTATAAATTTTCTTCTTTTCTTTCTTGATACACTTATCACTTTCACTATCAGTAGTTGAAACATCCCCATTATCAATACTATTCCATAACAGGTCAAACAAATCGTCATTAATTGTTGTTTTTATTCCGTCATTACCTACGAAGTAGTTAGTCATTATTTAATTAATAATATGAATATTTCTTTAAGTTGCTTATGCTAAAGCATAAGCGATAAAAGAAATATCTCATTTGTTAAAATTATGACCTACTACTACTTGAAGCAGAACTTATAACAATAGGGGAACTTTTAACAGAAATGGGGGAACTTTTAACAGAAATGGGCGAGCTTCTAACAGATATGGGTGAGCTTCTAACGCTTATAGGGTTACTATTTCCATAATGTATTGTTGAAGCAGGGCGAGAACTACCATAATGTATAGTTGAAGAACGGGAACTAGATTTACTACTACGCGACCCACCTATAGGTAGATTACCATAAGGGTTGTTGCTATGATGTGAAATAGAAGAACTTGATGAGGAAGGTATAGGCGTTTCATCTTTTTTAGTAGGCATTGGTTCATTGCTACCCCTTGCTCCACTATTATGACTTGTTTGACGCGATACTGACATATCCACTTCAACCTCCTCAAATAAACTATCAAATAATCTTCTCATAAATGATTTTTGTTGCTCTTGCTCTTGCTCTTGTTCTTGTTCTTCTGATTTCTCGCTTGATTTACTAGATAGTATTGAATGCTCACTCTCTACCTGTTGTTTTTCGTTTTCGGGTTCAATTGCTGTCTTCAAACTTTCCGACGTAGATGAATATGATGAATGGTTGCTAAATAAATCTGTTTGGGTTCCCTTTTGTGGGTTCTCATTCATTATTATCGCCTTCTTATCATATTTATCTAAATCAAAGTCATCAAAATCTACCTCCTCTAAGAACATTCCTTGTTGTGTTCTTCTTTCCCTTTCTGGTAATATTCTTAATCTTCTTGTTTTTGCTTCCCTTAGTATTTCTTCATATGTCGGGCGTAATCTTAACATTTATAATTATACTGATATTATAACTTATAACAAACTCATAGCACCACTAACGACACCATCAATCACGGCACCTTTTACTGCTTCCTTTCCTGCTTCTAATAAAGCACTTCCCGCACTTTCAAATGCCTTTCGGATTACTCCTTTACCTTTGCCTTTCTTCATCTGCGTCCATTCTTCCATTCTACTTCGTAAAAGTTGGTCATTGACTTCGTCCGCCCATTTACCAGTTTGTATTAGTCTTTCAACATAATTCAGTAAATATTCCTTTTTGGTTGGTGATTTACCCTTGCCTTTGATTTTTAG